GAGTAGGGGTCGGGGTTGGAGCTGGGGGGGTAGGAGTTTTGAGTAGGGGTGGGGGGTGGGAGTCGGGGGGGTCGGAGTACTCGTAGGAGGGGGAGTGCTCTCAGTCGGAGAGGGAGTCGGGGCCGACGTCGGCGCGGGAGCGGTGGGGGCCGGAGTGGTCGGTGGGGGGGAAGTGGGCTGCGGAGTCGGGGCCGCTGTTGGCGCTGCAACTGTGGGGGCGGGAGTCGGGGAATCTGTGGGAGGGGGTGTGGAAGTCACAGTCGGCGCTGGTGTGGATGGGGGGGGGTGCCCGGCGCAGGGGCCGTGGGGCTTGGCGTTGGGGCCGAAGTGGGGGCCGGGGCCGTCGGACTCGGTGTTGAGGGGGTTGGCGTTGAGGTGGGATTGCTGGAGGGGGCAATCACATCCGCGGACGTAATCTTGGCAGAACTGACGGAGAGGGTCTGGGTGGGAATAGGGGAGGGGTCGTTTGTTGGCGAAGGTGTGGGGGAGGGGGGTGCAGGGGTCGCGCTTGGCGTTGGGGCGGGCTGGGTTGGCGCCGGTTGAGTGGGACTTGGGGTCGGGGCAGGCTGTGTTGGCGCCGGTTGAGTGGGGCTAGGGGTCGGGGCGGGCTGAGTTGGCGCCGGTTGAGTGGGACCGGGGGTTGGGGCGGATTGGGTGGGGGCCGGGGTATCAGGTGCCGAAGTGCTGACGGTCGCCCGGAAAGAGTCGCCCCCCCCGATGACGGAGTTGCCATTTCTGTCGACCTTGCCACAACTGCGAGGAACGACGGGAAGAGTCAAGGGGGAGCGCAGAATAGGAGCTGAAGAAGTTTGACGTGACAGATTCTCTACTGTTTTGGAGAGAAACGCGGGGCTTGCAGAAGTAGGCATAGGCTTCGATTGTAGCTGTTGCGAAGGGCAGACTGTCTGGATAGGGACTGCGTTCGACCTGCGTTGCCTAAATTTATGGCGGCTTTGGAAGGCACCGCAGCTTGCCACCAACAAAATCTAGTCTCACTTCCCGCTGCGCTTTTGGAAAATCTCGTTTTGAATCTGAAGGTCAAACTATGCGGGGTGTGGGTCAAAGCTCTAGTCAAGCCGCTTCTCCCTTCTGTCCGGATTTCACAGCTGCCCACTTGCGGATTCGAACCAGATTACCTAAAAGCGAAGGGGGACTTACGGAGTGGCGATGATGGGGAGGATCCCTGCGCGGTCGTTCCCAATCTGCTTCCAGGCGGGATAAGACAAATCGAAGTGGGTTGCTGCGCACTCGGGGCACTGATTGGTGAGGTAAACACGTACGCTCGCGCCTGCAAACGAGATGTGTGAGTTGGCGGGGCATACAAATGCGTTCAGTGACTTCGAACTGTGCAAAGCCGAGTTGTATTGTGCAGAAGCCACTTGATTGGATTTGTAAGGCAGAGTCTAATAGAAGTGGGACTTGGATTCGCGACCGGATTGCTCTTTGAGAGTTGATCAAGGCAAGGCTGAGAGTAGAAGCCTGTGGGTTCACACTCACAGCCTGCAGAGTCCCATCCGAAGAAGGTATCGACCAGAGTATTGCAAGTGTCGCTGCCACTCCTCAATGCTCAGTACAAAGGTCTCTACTCTTTAGTGCAGCTTCCCTAACAATGTTGACATACTTTCAGTCTGACGTGTTTCATTCAAAAGGGTCTGCATCCTGGTTCCACACACTTGGTCAGTGAGGAGCCCTCCATTTGAGATCAACAGTAGCGCTTACCAGCAATGCAGTCTGGCCCTGGTTGCAACTGTGCCCTCCAGTCATCCCTGGAGCTGTCGCACTGGACGTCGAAGCACAGCCCGCACCCCTCCCTGTTATTGAAGATTGCATTGCCCCCAGCAAAGGTGTTGACACCGAACACGGGCCTCACATTTCCCCACAGACAGGCACCACCTGTGGATTGGACTTCTGGTGTCAGGAGGGGGAAAAGTATGCGCTAATACATAGGGATAGGGACAGATCAATGGGGGCAGTGGGGAGTATATGAAACAAAGGGATTCGAGAGCAGGACCCAGAAACTGCATGCGATGGATCATGGTTCGTTGGTGGTACTGGTCTAATGTCAGTGAGCTTAGACAAAGCTCATTTGAGCTCAGGGGACTGCGGAACATGGATGACGAGCTTTGATTGAATTGACTTTCTCGCACCTTCCAACCACCAATGAATGCAACGCAGATCTTAGTGCTGTCGTCATGTGACCCAAGTGACGAAGTCCAGCAGAAGAGTCTCATGTGCCCATGTCAACATTTCCTCTATCCCATCAGCACTCAGGATCTGATGCAAGCGACCTCTTTCTCTCTGCAGTTGCTCGAACCGCAAGTGACTAGTTGGCTATCTGCAATCTGTTTCATGTTCCAACAAAGGACTTCCTGCTTCTATTGACTCCAATGCAATGCTGTCTCCCCTCTGCGTTTAAAGGGAGTTTCTGAGGCTGCGCATCTGCACCTTACATCAGTGGCTAACTAAGCGCGTAAAATCTATTCTCCTGAAACACATATTGGTGTAGACATCCTTATTGAAATTGTTCTGTAGGATTGAGAAGCATTGTCACCACATTCGACTCCACCCTCGCTCACTAACTCCCGATCTCAGAGTGGGGACACTTGGCCTTGCTCTATGCCTCTTGAAATTCTGACCTTCGGTCTTGTTCCAAAAGTTTCGTCCCCTTTGGACATGTCTCATCATAAGCCAACGTTCATTGAACATTCTACCACTAAGCTGTCATTTTCAGGATCTGTAAAAAATCTGAGAGTGGAGCGAATCTGGTTTATTCCAACCCAGCAATGCTGACATCACAGGGTTCCAGCATTGCGTCTATTGAACTCACCGTCAGTGGCTCCATTCCCATTCAGGTCACCGTAGTGCGTCGACTTTGGTCCATCCCCGTAGTAAACAGCCGCCGACCCGTTCAGAAGTGCCAGACCGACTAGAGCAATAAACGCTAGGAGCTGCATTGTTAAGCGTGGGGAACGAAGAACGGGTCAAGGTAGGGAGATGCTGTGCTGCGCAGCAAAGTGTCCCCTGAGGGAAAGTTGAGCGGGATCTCGGATCTTGCAGCATGTGGGTGGCTGGTAGGGAGGAGGAGAAGAGGGGAGAGGGAGGGCTCAGATTCGGCTGGAAGAAAGGCGCCTCCTTGTCGACGAGATCTCCTGAAGCCAATCTTGGTGATTGTTGTGGAGAATGGGGAGTGTCCAGATGCAATGCGCAACATGCAGAGCTCGTTGAGAACCTGGCCTGCGTGAAACGATACCGTACCCACCCACTTGGGAACCCTGCCTTGTGCAGGCGAGATTTAGAACAAGGAACGTACAGGTCTACTGTAGGTAGGTACCTGGATAGGTGGGTGAATAGCGTATTGTATGCATCCTTTCGCAGTGCAATGTCCGAACCTCAACGTGCTTGCGGAGCCTGTCTCGACCCTGCGCAGTGCGCAGTGCGCACCGTGCCGTAGTTTGGGACCTCAGGCTGGCTGGCCGCTGCATGGGGCACTCTGCCCCCTCCATGCAATGTTCGTTGGTACCAAAACTGTACAAGGCAGGTACTGCCATACTGGTTGCTGCACAAATACCTTACCTACCTACCTACCAGCTCCCGTGTAGGTAGGTATGCATCCTGCAGGCTGCAGCCTGCAGGCCGGCGGATCCCCACGGAGTAAATTCTGCGGGCTCTTGTCGACCACTCACAGATGCAGTTGGCACGGTTGAGGCGGTTTAAGATTTTGTCGTCTTCGCCGTTTTGTCGTCTAGCGACGGTTGCACGACAAAAAGTGACGACAGTTGTCACCACTGTACGCGTGTCAGAACAGGAACCCCCCCAATTCCGGCTGAGTGGTCGGTGAACATCATTGCCTTATGTATCTTCCAATTCGAAGCAATAAAATGTTGCCACATGTCAGCGAGACAATTGTATCAACTTATTCGCTGTGCATATAATACTCTGTCAACGCCCATGAATAAGATAGGCGCCCGGGAGACGGGTATGGTTGGTCTGGTCACTCTGGTGGTTAGGCTGGCTTCGGGGTCGGTGCGGGTGATATGAATTTTGGTTAGGGTTTTCTAATTTGTTTGCCCGGGTAGCTCGGATCGCAGTAAAATGCTCTTTAAATAGGGGGTTGCCAGTATGTGCATACCGTACTGCTTTTTAATTTCGGCGAAAAATAGATAATTATCTGGCCTGCTGAAAATCTTAAATAATTATCCAAGAGCGTTAATGGTCGATAACGGTTCTTTTTAGCAGGTAACGCTGGGTCTGCCGAAAGATTCAAACGTTTCATAATTAACTATTTTGCGTCGAAGGTGCCGATATTAAAAAGCAGTACGGTATTGCAAGTTGCTTTTCCAAAGCTCGGCGACAACATGGTACCGTACCGGGTATACAGTAAAATCTAGAGTTGATGACGGAATTCTGTGCATTGAATGAATCTCTTCAGTTTAGGACGGGCAAAGTCCACATGGCTTTGGCATCCTTTCCCGTCCGTCGATCAGACCTACAAAGTGGACAGGAGCCGTTCAAGTATCTACCTATATCAAGCTGCAGTGTGCACTGCTGCATGCCAAGTGGGGTCTTTTACGCCGGGTTTACCGCAAGAAGTTCCCAAAGTCCAGGCGAGCGACCCGGCCTGTCGGGAATCTGGATGTCAAACTTTCGAGAATATCCTATCCAGTATAGGTACGACAAGAACGATCTATAAGCTATGAAGCAGGTTCAAGCAGCCCTGCTGGCTGCCCTATAAGAGCTACCGGTGTATCGATACCAATTTTAAAGGCTCCGTATACAGTACCTAGCATGAATCAGAAGGTCCCCCGCGGCCCGCCCCATAAACCTAAGTTGACGTGATCGAAGACTCTGGTAACCCTGGTATGCACTAACCGAAGTACGCAGCGACTGGGAAACGGGCGGGGTAATTGGGGTTAGCTTAATGAGAGTAGGGTATTAAAATTGGTTAAATATGCTGGGGTTTTTTTTGGAGATTTTTAAATAATATACCAATGACCGAGGCTGGTACCCCGGGCTTTATACCTACCAGGTGTTTTGTGCTCCATAAGGGACCGGGTGCGCTTAAAGTGAATGCCCAACAATCTTTTGGCTTGGCCCCAGGGATTTGATTGGTCCACTCTGGACGTTCTTGGTCCACGTAGGACATGCCTGTATTACTATTAACTGAGATTACCTATACCTGCATGCAGCGCTGCAGCGCTGCAGTACGGTATATAGGTTCCGCAATGAAGCGCCCCCGTTTTCCTGATGCGCAATCCTGGTGATCTATGAACTGCCGCTGCGTTTAGCCATGGAGGCTCGACCAGCACCTCCCAAGCTCACAGAGTGTGGATATTACGATGTTGCGGAATTGCAGAGGATATCAGAGAGGCTGCTGCTCACGCTGGCAGCTGCTGCCGTGGCAAAGACGACTGGCGACTTGTTCAGAGGACCGTCCGCAGGTGGGGGTGCTCATTGATATGATATACTGGTTCCAGGCACATAACAAAAGAGGTTATATTTTCGCCGTGTCAACTTATTGCCACTTTTTACCACCTTTGAACGAAGACTCAATGTCCGTCTACTAATTTTGCACAATGCAGAGAAAAAGGTTTTTGTAGTCCCGGTTACTGGGTGGTTGGAACTGCTCAAATTGAAACGCGAACAATCAAAAGGGCCTGCAAAAGGTACAATAATACTCCTCTTTGATTCTGGGCTGCTCTCTTCTGTTAGAGCAAGCCCCGCTCAGGTGGTCCTCTCCTCAATGCATCCCGTAGTTTTCCGCCCCAGATAAATTCACAAATACTCTCTGAGAGTATTCTTCTGCCTTTTTGCAGTGGTGCCAGACTTGAAAACCTCGCTGCTGGTGAGCTCGCAAGCAGCCTCCTTCCTGATTGAGCCATCCGTAAGGAAGGCATTGGTTGCGATTGCTCCTGCTTGATGCTTTCTGACTTGCTGACTTTCCAACGTGAACTCCCCAATCGGATCAGTGCCCATTAGCTGCGGATCTCGAATAATTGCGCAGCTAAAGAATCACCAGGCCGGAGGTGCCGAAGCTGCATTGCGGGCAGTCAAGCTGACTTCTCTTGAAGAAAGAACTTTTGGGTCACGTCTTTCGCAGCTCCGAACGGGTGTTGAGTATTTGCCACAGCTCTCTCAGCTGAACGTTGTGTATGTCGCACCGCCATTTTGGAAACTGAGTTCTCCGGTTGCTGCGCCGAGAATATTCTACCTCAATTCTACCTTTTGGCAGACATCTTCAAGGATCTCGCGGGGAAGTATACTTTCCCCTTTGACCCAGTCCCTCAAATTCCAATCACCTGCAAAAGTAGAACCAAGCCCCTAGGTCGTTCATGTCTCCGACAATTCCCCTCTTTACCCCGGTTTTTGAATCTTCTCTTTCTGTTCAAGACGTTTGTTAAAATTTGTCCCTTACGAACTTGAGTCTTCGATCAATGTCTACCCTAACTTTAGAAAGTGTGCCTTCAGGAGTACCTCCACCAGCAGAGCGAGTCCTATATCGGAGGCGCTCACACGGAGGTTCCCCACGCGGTGATCGAGGGCATGCTGGAGAACTTTGTCCGCAGCCAGCGCAGCTTCATGGGCAAGGTCCCCGGGCTGACCAACCGGGACGAGAAGATCGAGGAACTAGCAGCGGAGCTCGACCGGCAGAGCGCCTGGATGAACGGACGGAGGGAGTTCCTGGCGAAGGCGCTGATCAAGGTGGGTACCTGGGGTAGCTTCTCCGCTGTGATTAAGTGACTTGTGAAGCCCTGGCGGAAGTACAAGCTGATAAGCAGCGCTTAGGAGACATTTTGACCGGGGTGATTATTTGCAATATGGATATGCTGGAGCAGCAATGTTACTCTGGTTCGTGTGACGGGTGTGCAGAACAGAGTGGTGCCGCGAAGCTGAGAGTCCGCAACTCCTGGAAAGGTTTGTACTGTCCTGTTCATCTGCGCGAACAGGGATGGCGTGAGCCTAAGTTCTCGAACTGAGCTCCTGAAACAAGTCACCATGTTATAGCCCGTTTTGTTGAAGTGGGCGGTCTTGATTGGATGTCTGGAAGGTCGGGGGGCGTATTTGAAGATGTAATAGGATATTTCAAAAGAGCGTAAATTAGCGCTTTCCCTTGGCATCGATTTCTTAACTCGGTCTCTTGATAACCGTGTCTGGCAGCCGTTGATTGTGGAGCTACTCCTGCCTGTATGTAATCCTAGCCAGACCCGAAACGCTTTCACTTGCGAGCTCTTGAAGCATCAGCGGACGACGATTTCATACGTCCGCAAAGTTTTCCTTCATGTTGGGCCGATCCATTTCACACTCGGAAAGCCAGAAGACTCTGCATTCAGCTTTTTGAGCAGAGTCCCGGAGTGAAACGCAAAGAACAAGCTCTACCGGGTAGTCATAGTCGGGGTCCGACATAACCCCTCTATCGCGTGAGTTGAGCAAGACGAGTGCGTGGGGGGACCAAGGTTGCTTCGCAGACGCCGTTTTTCTGGAGAATCTACACAAGGTTCGGTGCGAGCCCTTCGTATTCGAGCTCATGCATCGTGGTGGGGGCATCGATTGACGTCTTTCCTTACCGTTTTGATATTCTGCCTTCCTTTTTCTCAGGCTTACTCCGTCGTTGAATTTCGTGACCTGTGTTCTCTTTTGCAGACTCTGCTTGCTCTCGTATCTTGAAAATCTCACGAGAACGAAGTTGCAGGGAATGGCTGGAACGGCCTGGTCTGTCGAACAAACCTCGTCACAGCCCATGGCTCGAGACCGTCAGTTCTGACACGTGGCGTCGTTCCGATGCAGCGCGTGGACCGCAGCCAGATGGTGCACTGCAATGCCAGGTTCGAGGACGAGACCGAGCTCGCAAAGCACAAGAGCGAAGAGTGCCTCTTCCGCCCGCTCAGCTGTCCCCACGACGGCTGCACCGAAGTCTTTTCGGCGCTGCACGAAGAAACGCACGATGCCATGTGTCCCTTCAAGCTGCTGCCCTGCGAGCAGGGCTGCAAGGAGCGGGTGACACGTGGCGACATGGACAAGCACTGCGTGACCACGTGCCCGATGAAGCTCGTGGCGTGCCCGTTCGAGAGCGTGGGCTGTAAGGAGTCGTTGCATCAGTGCGAGGTGGAAGCACACTGTGACACGTGTACACAAATCCATCTAAAGATGGTGCTGCGGCTGGGGCAAAGACAGGAGGTGACGATAGGGTCGTACGTGCAGCGCTTGGCGCTGGTCGAAAAGTCGGTGAGCCTGGCGGCGCGGTCGGCGGACGTCGACGTGCACACGGTCAGTCTGCAGCTGAAAGAGTCGGAGGCCAAAGTGCGGCAGCTGTCGGCGGAGGTGACGCAGCTGAAACGAGATTTGAAGGCAAGTGACATGTCGGCGGAGGTTTTGCAACTTAGGAGAGAGTTGAGACAGTTGCAGAAGATACTTGAACGGGATTGAGATGTTGGATCGTGACTCCTTGATTAGCTGATCACTGTGGTAGGATCTGTATCATATGGAAAGATAGAGATCAGAGTGATTCGTATTCCCTTAGCTTATAGTACAGGTGACCGCTACACAGGTACATAGTATTGGAAGCAGAGCATGGCGCCCTTTGTCATTGCAAGCCGTGAGATATTAAAGTAGATCAAGAACTTCGGAGATTTGTGCATTGATGTGCGTTTGAATCAATTGAAAGCGCACGGTTTCAGTGCTTGCATCTTCTCATGTCAGATCGCTGACATATGCAAAGCAAGTCTAGGATCTGATCTTGCACGGTAAGTCATGCACGTGACTGTCGTGCGTAGTTCAGCGATCCAGGCTTAACTACGATTCGGTTTTTGATACACGTGTATATTGCAGTCGTTTGAGGGCTCACGACAGGACTATAGGTTGCATATGCAAATATGACCGCATGCCGCGGGATGGTGTCCGGTGTGCACGTACTAGCTATCGTACAATCGACTGCAATGTATATGAGCGCGGCAAGTACTAACGTACGAACTTGAACATAACACCAAGGCTAAGCCCATATGACTTGCATGCACGATCGGATCTAGCTTATTGCGCGCACTATATCGGTGCTCGAGCAGACGCTTTGAAGTTGATCCTCATGAGTCATTGTCAAATCCACATGCGACCCTGGCACTGATCAGTTGCTGTTTTCATTGACATCACCTGGGAGGCTTTTCTACACATGCGCGGGCTTTGATCGGAAGTTCTAATCAGTGCATGACGGTACATTGATCCTGTAGATCAATACTCAGAGTTCTGAGAGTTCGCTCTTGGATCTAAGGTTCATGATCTGCAACTCGATCAAGTAAAGCCACAACTCTCTCAAAAATGTTAGCAGGGCTCTGACCAAGAGCACTTCCGTGTGGCGAGCCCGCTCGCCAGGCCTTCAGTCCTTTTTCTTTGCTTTAAGTTTCTCTGCAGCCTTTTTCGCCTGGAAGAAGTGCGACCAAGTTAGTGGGTACATCATTTCATTAAACTTGCCTCTGTCGAGGCTTGGCAAAGAGTTTTGACGACACTGTGAACCTCGGAGATAAGCAGACAAGCTTGAGTATTGGTGATTCCTTGTTCATTGGGGCTTGGATTCACAGTCCGCTTGTGGGTTCCCAACAGCATTCTGGCTGCTGACGAAGCCCTATCACCCTCGAAGAAACAACTACGCAAGGAAAATGGCTCATTGAAAGTCGGCCTTTGCCTTGAGGGGAAAAAGATGATGCCTGCGATCTTCAATCAAAAGGAAGGGCAGTTGCAGTTGAGACAGGTACCTTAAAGTCTGCGATGATCTGTGGCATCCTGGCCATGGTTTCTTCAATCTTCTTCCGCCTGCACATTGACGAAGTGTAAACATGCGGCTCCAGATGCAAACTAGAGTAGGTCTGCAAGCAGACCACGCTAGAATGGGTCTACAAGCAGACCACGATTGCAGGCCCACCCCCTTCGAGCCTGCTTAATTTAGAGTGCAATTGGACCACACTGGTTTGTGGGATAAGAAGCTGAAAAAGGACCGTCTGTGCCCTCCAACGGAAACAGTATACCGCGAGGAAGAACGTCATACAAAAGAAGCAGCTCTCACTGACGTGATAAAAGGCCCTGAGAATCTTCCATGTCAGCAGACAGAAGCTCAATATCGCAGTCACGGCACTCCACCATGCTGCTGACGCTTCGTTGGTGAAACACTTACCGCTCCGCAGCGATCCTGTCGTGTTTGTGGCCCTTCATTATATTCTTCATTTCCTTCCGGGGGGGATCGTGAGGCCATTCTCTGCAGGCGGCCACCAACAGGCCTCAGCAAGGCACATGGAGAATCGGTCCTCTTGTAGCATCGCAAAAACACCACCACCTGATACCAAGTTCTCAACACACCACACTTACTATTGCTGCTTCTGGTGCAGCTTGCAAGCAACTCGTCTCGAAAAACCTCACTTTACGACGAGGCCCGCCAACCTCCGAGCAGCTGGTTCTAACATTACCTGCCCGAGAGGAGTGTTTCCCGCTTCAGCTTGGCGGCTTCCCTGGCCTTGATTTTGGGAGCAATCCACTTGCCATCTATCCACTGGGATCTGAGCTTGGACGCCAGGGCTTTTACATTCTGGGCCCACCCTGCAGCCATTAGCGAGCTGCAGGGCAGCCCGACAGCCTCAGCTTGTTACAATCACGTCAATTCTGCCAGCGACACAGCCAACCTGCTTCGTCCTGAATCGAATTGCACCGGTGGCGGGCACTGGCACTTGCAGGCAGGAGTCCGGTGGTCAATGATTAGAGCGCTGCGCCTTTACATAATATAAGAGACTTGCTAGCTACAAGGGACGTGTGCCTCTTGGCCTTCTAGAATCTAAGCTTGCTGCTGCAGTTACAACCACTATGTAACCTCAATCAGGCACCCTTGCCAGCCGCCACCTCCAGCTGTTGGCTACCTACTTTAGAAGTTAAAAGTTTCGGGTACCTACAGGCAAGCATTGTTCACCACTTCAGATTGGCTTTCTTTATCGTCTTCGATGCGTTTGACAACGGTGCTGCCATAGTATTGCCGGTTTTTAACCGGATCGCGCAACCGACGGACTGCATCCAGGTTGACTTGAAGCATTATCAGATTTAGAAAAACGGCAATTGGACGGGCGGAACGCCGCCGGCGGCGGAACGCCGCTGCTATTAATTTGTGATTTTCGTAATTGGATTGATATTTGTTGCATTCGAAAACAATTCGTAAATTGCGCAATTTTCTAGCTCGTGCAATCAAAGCCTACCTAGTATCTGTTGTCTCGTGATGAGCGTTTCATTGCCACCCTGACAGGATCTCTTCCATCTAGAATCATATGAGGTGCTGCTCTAGCTGCTCTAGCTGCTTACTAAGTTACTTCCCTCCTGGTGCCCAATCAAAGTACAAAGCAAGCAATCTACAGAAAGTGTGCTCAGGAGGTTGGCAATTAGCTTCAAATGCACATGCCGGCGCTGGAAACTTGTTGAAAAGAGCTGGAGAAAATGTCAGTGCCGTGGAAGGAGAGACTGGCAGCGTCTGGTAAGTTGAACTTTCCTTTTCAGAGTGCTCATGATTGAAGGCGCGCAGTCTTTTTGTTCACTTTCGCAGAAGAAGCTCGATCATAGCATGGTGGCCATTGGCTTTTCCGTAGCTGGAGTTTTGCGATCGTGGCTTTGCAGTGTAGGATGCTTATTCTGTTTCGGTTGATAAGAAGCAGCAGGCGCTGGCAACATAATCAATGCTGTCAAGCATTAACATGTTTCGAACAGAGTTCTACCCGTGTGGCGAACAAAACCCATAGGATCACAAGTAAAAAGGAGCTCTTCAACAATCTGTGTTCAGATTTCTCTAGTTCAACATAGAAGTCTTCATCTTGCATCTGCATTCAAGAAGTTTGCCTCCATAACATGTCACAGACCTTCTTGTAATGTCATGGAGAACATCTCCCAGGTCTGAAAGCCAGTGTCGAAAGGGGTTGCAGGGGCCAAGTTGAAGGAAGCGACCCAGAGCGCTGGGACGTCTGTAAAGAGTGGCATGACCAACTTCAGTGGCAATTGGAAGGAGAAGTACAAGCCCGGCATAGCGGCCAAGCTGGCTGCAGCGGGTGAGGCGATCAAAGAGGGGGGAGCAAAAGTATCCCAGGGGCTGTCGGATACAAAGGAGAAGGTTATGGGGGGGAAGATGGGACAAGTAAGCCCCATTCTGTGCACTTTGCACCTTTCAGGTGACCCGTGAAAAACTCGACCTGTATTGAGGAGTCTCCGCCACTGGAGTCTGTCCCTTTGTGCTGACTTCTGCAACGGCCTAAGAAGCATCAAATCTTGCATCTTTTATCCACACGTGTATTGTGGAGACAGGAGCTCCGTGTCACTTGTCCACATGATCTTGAGACACGTGCCCTACTCGCAACAAAATACTCAACTTCCCGAGTAACGGTTGTCTCATATGTCATTTTGATACGGAGCATCGAGTCGTCCAGATGGAAGGTGCGACTATTGTACTGGGTCTTTTCCATCATGATTATGAGGTCAGTATCTCATGTTCGTGTCGATAGGACTGTGGGGGCAAGTTGGACAACGACTGAGTCATTGGACGTGGAAGCCAAGGATACCAATAATCCCGGTATCTCCTTTTTATTGGTTACCTATTCTGCGTTGCAGTGGTTTTTTGAGTGAAATCTGCCTGCCCAAGACATGTCCTCATTATCCTTGTTCTGCGCTGACCGTAATCATGGAAATGTAGAAAGCAGTCTCAAGGCCAGCCCATTCACAACTAGCAGCCTCGACCAAGAAGAGTGACTTGGGTATCAGACTTTTTATTGAGTCGCTTGGCTGCCCGAAAGGCAGGGTTTCAAAGTATTACTGCCTTTCGTCTCAGAACATGCGGCAAGGATCCCAAAGAGCGTTACTCACGAGCAAGTCATTGATGCAGCGCCTCGACTGGCGGCAACGAGTGAGTGGACCCGTCTCCTTGTGTCGGTGGTTCCGGATCATGCAGAACGCTTTCTTTGATTCAGACGGATTTTGCCCTTAGAAAAGGTTGTCATGCCTCTGCTCCGTTGCCAAGTATTCGCCCAGCAACTTGCGAGTTGACTGAGCGGCCTAAAGCACGCTCCGCTAACCTGAGCCCGACGCATAAAGATAAGCTTACGCAGCCGGGACCGAGAATCTGCTCACCTGCCCTCCTTGGGGGCGGATTCGATTGAGAAGATGTCTAGACACATCTCCTTCAAAAATCCTGATTCCGTTGTCTTCTTCGCAGGTTGGCGCATCCGGAAAGGGAGGTGAGTTGCAGGCCACATCATATGAGCAGCTTCTCGCCAGTCAGACAGTAATCGATTCTGACGCCTCGGTTGTCATTCCAACCCGTATTCATGAAAGTGCGAGGCAAGTGAGCGGAGATGAACGAGTCACCGCTGAAGGCCCTCAACGCGCCACAAAGCATAGGGGCGCAGCTCTCTTAGCTCGTTCAAACCGATGCAATATGCAAATCCTGAGGTTATCACTATCTGCGCCTGGATATTTAACTGAGAGACTCTCCGATTCCTCCTTCCTGATTACACTGTTTTTTGAATCGTGTCCTGTGACTTACTCTAAGCGCCCGGAACCCGGCCATTCCTTTCGCCCGCACTCAGCGCCTTTTCCCGCTCTGCAGCGTTTGGCGTAGCGCTCGATCAGCTCCTGCTGAAGCCCGGCGCCACCGCCGACTCGATCCCGCTCGTTGTGACTCGCTGCGTCAATTATCTGACTGCCTCAGGTATGCCAATCCGTCTCTTCTGATCGGATCGTTCCAGCTATGTCACGAAACGTCGTTTTGGAGCGCTTCTCAGAGGTGTCCTGCAGGTGCTCAGCCTGTGTTAGGATGGAACGAACCTTCGAAAGCCCTTACAATTTGATTTACGAGATAGGATATCCTACTTTCGGCATGATTCTGAACGTCTACCCTTTCTCCACAGCCGGGCCGGAAGCAATTCTCCATAGTACCTCATCGTTCTTCAAAACTTCTGTACGATGCCCGCACCGCAACCATTTACTCCGTACCCGCATTTGCAGGCCTGCAAGCGGAGGGAATGTTTCGTACGCCTGGCAAGCCGGACGTCATCCGGAAGCTCGTCCGGTTGTACGACACCGGTGAGTCGGCCCACTTAGCACAAACAAAATCGCAATGGAATACTACGAGTATCTTCCGTGTTTGAGCTGCCCTTCGTTGACGCCTCTAAGCCTTCGTGATCTCTCTTTCTTGATCATCACATACCCTGTCGCATGCCAGACGCCGGTCGTCGCATTCCCCTTGCGATCTACTATGTGCGGAAGGCTTCTCAAAGTCTGACAGATCGGGCTTTCCCGCTCCTCAAGCGCATTGCATGAATGTTTCAACTACGAGATTTCTTCTTTAGAAGAACGAAACTCTGAACTGTCGGAGGGTTTGCCCCGAAATCCCCACACCTCGATGTTCCCAGAACTACGGTACTCGTCTCGTTTTGTCAGGCCTCGCCTCGTCTGCGTTTTCTTCCAAATTCGGCCCTTCCTCGCCTCTCGTTTGCAGATTCTACTCGCAAGCCCGTCGCGGCACATGTCTTCCCCCTTAGGCCTGCGTCCCACTTTTAAGAAGCGCTGCGCGTCAGCTCTCTGTCTGGTCACCAGTTCTTAACATCACACGTCTGACCCCATAAGTTCTCGTTGCATCAAGCGCATACACGTTTCACCCACATTTTCGGGCCACGCTTTCTCCGAACCTCTGTCCCTCCCTTTACTTCAGAGTATCATACCTTCCTTTCGTCCAGGATTGTTTCCCCTTTCTCCAGACTCTCATCCCTCCCTTTCTTCCAGAGTCCTATCCTTCGAATTCTCCTTTTATCTAACTCCCTCTCTTCCGAGATTTTAGACTTCTCTTTTTTAAACCTTTTTTCCCTCCCTCTCTGCCAGACCCTGCCGCCCCCCTCCCCGTGGGCACTGACGTCATCGACGTGGCCGCCCTGCTGCTGCTCTTCTTCCAGCTGCTGCCCGAGCCCGTGCTGACGTACGAACTGTACGACGAACTGCTGCTCGTGGGGGGCGCCGAGGTGGACCGGATACGCGGGTTTGTGGCCACCGGGTTACCGCTAACCAACGCCGTCACGCTCAAGTGCCTCTGCGGCCTGCTGCGCAAGATTAGCAGCTTGTCCGCCGTCAATAAGGTGAGAGGTGAAGCGAGCGGTTACTGCGGATTCGGCGACTATAGAGCAGCCTGCTCGGTCTCGATGGCCGCCGTGGGCCTGCACTAAATTTCTACGGGGTCTCTGTGAAAAAAGTGGTGTAAGGTGTTTTGTGTCTGGATTGTTCCTACTTGGGAGCCAGTAGCCTGCCCGGCTTGCGTGCATCAGGTCGATCTCCCTCGTGCTGCGGCTAGAACCTATGCCGGCAGCCCTCTCATTCTTCTTCATAATCTTCGGGCGAAACCACTCTCAGCGAGACATATATCTTCGAGCTTAAGAGTCCTCTCCAGCTTCGGAGCTCGGCGTCCAATCCGGGAGATCGTTCCGGTCACTCCTCGCTTTTCCGGCCCCAATCTTAACCGATCCCACGACTCGCTCCTACAGCTAAGCGCGCACGACCTCGCAACGCAAGTGGCCCCCGTCTTGGTGTGGCCCCGGCCCCCCGTCGTTCTCGACAGCCCGTTGCGCACCTTCAGCTTCCGGCGGTCCTCCCCTTCTAGTTCCCCTTCCCCCTCCAAACTCGCCAGCCCCCGTGGGTCTGACGGGCTGGAAACACAGCTGTCTGCGGAAGCAGAGGTTCTGACGCTGGATGATGACGCGCCCGCGGTGCTGACCCCGTCACATATACCCCTGGATGATGCGACGCCGGAAGAGCATGCGATTCGCGCGGCCGTGCAATGCATGATCGAAGAGTTTGACGTCATCTTTGGGGGAATAGAGGGCTCTGAGTGACGCACCAGGAAGTCTCACCGGCAATTCTGTCGATGAAAAACTTGTTGGGGATGTTTTAAGTCGGAAGTCCACGTTAACGGTCCTGCACGAGCAGTGCGCAGTCGGCTTGCTTGCTCAAGGCTCAAAACATAACTGAACATACTGAGGGTCTGCACCTTAACAACGTCAGTTTCCGAAAGGTAAGTCGGGCGCAGGTTGTTGAAAGCAGATTCCGCGCACCACTGAATCTGACTGCAACAGCTGCCGCAAACATTTGCCCTGGTAATGTGCAGCTGTCATGCTGCGATTGTAGATAATGACATGGACGTGCCTAACGGCAACTAAGAGTCAGACAAAAGCCTTGCAGCGGCTGCGCTGGGTTGATTGTCCAGTCCGAGCAAATCATGGCACAAGTTTCAAGGCGCAACAGCGATACCACTTCAGTGGATAAAGGAGTCAAGACGTTATAGTGAGTGACGGCCGCGCTTGATCTGTACGGTGCGTATTCGAATCGTGAAAAGTTTACTAGAGCCTGGTGGCGTGACCGCTAGGCCGGTCAGGTTATACCGTTATACCATATCACACGTTTGTGTTTAAAACTTAGTGATTTGATGCATGTCGCCGCTCTGCCAAAACGATGGCGGGCGTGCTGAATCGCGCCGAGATCGACGGTCCGGCGACAGACATATACTATATGCGTCTGGCATTCTGTGCATGCAAGACGATCGAACCTGTCGCGGCCAGTAATTATGGATGTGGCAGTTGACATGCCGGCCCATGACCCCCATGGCAGCAAACGCGAGTACCATGCCAGCTGCGTACGTTGGTCACTATTCGACCGTCGGTGCGCATGCATGTACTGCATGATGTTGCGGGAACCGGGTACAACGTTCAGTTTCCTACTAACTTAGGACGCGCGCGCTTCTAGTGACTGCATATATCATGCAGAAGTTTTCGAGTGAGTATTTGCCGTACCCGGGTACTAACGTGGCCATGCTAGAATATGCAAGGGACATGGATCATATGCATATGTCAAATACTCATGCCATGTGTTTGTTGCCGAGTGTACTGGTGTATATGAGGAACAAGGGAATAACAGATACTAGCTGTGTACGGTACAGTAATGCAGCATGTAACTTTATAACGTGCAATGCACATGTTCGGTCACATGGCAAGACCTCGACGGACTGAGGTGGAGATTCAGCCCTTCAAACTGTCGTTCGCACCTCCGGCAAAGTGTGAAAACATGGTCCGTCTCCGACTGCTCTTCCTACCTACATTTGTAGTAGCGGTGTATATTTTCAAAACTAGCTCACTGCCACATGCGTACGAAGCTCTTCAACAATTGGAAAGAGCACCAATTAGCTATCTCTCCGTCAATGGCAAGTGATTGGCGTGCTATCAATGATGGGTTCGATCCAAAAACTGGCATAGTCCACAAGGTTCACGCGTCTTCTCCCCAAGACGCATATGCCAAATGAGGTGGTCGTGAAAGGTGCTCAGGACAGTCCTCGGAATAAATACTGCAGCAGATACAACTCTGATCCAACTCCGCAATCACCGTTTGTCAGAACGAGGGCGCTTTTCCACATTCCGTCTCGCCAAAACTCTCCGATTCATTACCTCCTAAGCTCAGCATGGAAAAACCCACATTTGTGCGGACAGCAGTCGCTCCTGCGGTCACTTTTGGAGCATGGTCCGCAGGTCGCCCCAGCCCTTCCCTTTGGGCTTCGCCTGCACTGGCGGCGGGGGCGGCGCAAACTGCGCCTTCTTCATGCCCTTCCCGACGCCGCTCTCCTCCACGCTCTGCGCCAGCTTGCCCAGCTCGATCACCTGACACGGTGCCCGGAAATCGGTAAGTCCAGGCAGCGCCACCGTGCGATTGCGGATCCGACGGCCCAGATGAAAGCAGAGGCAGAAACAGAAAAATGAGGGGAAAGGTGCTTAGGCTAGTCGACCAAAGCCGCTTGATCGCAGCATGAGTGACCAATGCTGTCTTCCTTTTCTTCTGATTTTGGAATAGATTGAGGACTGCGGTACTCAAACGGCCACAGAATGGTCCCGCCCCGCCCAAGTCGACTCTGCGCGCTAATAATGTCAGGCTACCCTTACACTGCTCCATCACGCAGTCCGCGCTAAAAACAAATATGTCAACTGTGACGAGGTTTTTGGGCGACAATCACAGAATCTCTCTTTGACCCACTTTCGCATGCACAACGGTGTGCAAGCGAAACAGGCGAAGAATCAAGTCATCTCCCAGACTGAACGAAGCCCCGACAAACTGTTCCCGCACGTTTCACAGAAACGGCCGCTCACCAGTTTCCCGGTCTCCTCGTCCTTAAGCGTCCCCCCAATGTCCAGCGTGTACCGTTTCCGCTCCTTCTGCGGAAACTTCCTCTGCCGCAGCATCGCCAAGTCACGAGCTGCCAGCTGGCGCCCGTTGACGTAGATCCCGGTGGTGCCGCCCGCGGCGTCGGGCGGCAGCGGAAAGTCGAACTCCGGAATGCCCGGCTGCACAGACGGGGCGGCGTTCGTTTGTTACTCTGCTATAATTTGCTAAAATCTGTTCCTCTGCCCAAACTTCGTTTCCTCTCCTCAAAGGTAGCATCAGCGAAATTGTTTGCGGCTAACGTCTCAGAGCCTTGTCCAAGGTACGAAGTCAACACGAGAATGGTTCGGACTCGTTTGTTTTGAAGGCTTTCAGGATCAGGCTGACTGTGCGAGCAAGCTCTGTCATTTCCGGATAAGCGGCTAACCCAACCCGTTGACTCACCGGCAGGATCCCCTGGCACGGCTTCCCGTACTCCCCCCAGAAGCCCGCCAAGGGGTCGTACCAGTAGAACCCGCCCCGCTCGATCGGCCCCGCCAGGACCTCCGCCGCTGACGTCAGCTCCTCCGTCAGCCGGTGCCCATTCACCCACATTGCCGCGGGGGCCAGCATGGGGTCCGGCTGCCACTGCTGGGGGGCGGTGTTAACGGGCCCGGTTCCGGCGGAAGAGAAGGAGGTTAGGGACGACTGGTCGCTAGACTGGGAGTAAATTCCACGTTGAGGGGGGGTAACTGGCGCTGGCTGCGGTGTGAAAGCGTGAAGCGGAGGAGGGGGGGCCTGCGGCAGGTACGGAGTTGGCCCCCCAGGGGAGATGATGTTTGCTTCGTGTCGGGGGTCTGGTTGCGAGTTGACAAACGGTGAGGCTTGGTTGAGTTGCGGAGGGGGGGACATTGGCGGGGGTTGAGTGGGTCGGTCAAAGTGGAAAACTGGCGTGGAGTGGGCAACCGAAGCGGGGCCAAAGGCTGGGGGGGGGCTCACGCGGGCGGCTGGCACCGGTGGCATGACATTTGGCGGTGGCGGCTCGACCGGAGCTTGCCCCCCCGGGGGCGAGACGTACTCCCAGGCGCGGGACTGGAGATTTTCCGAGGGGAGAGCCTGCCCCCCCGGGGGCGAGACGTACTCCCAAGCGAAGGACTGCAATTTTCCCGGAGGCGGAGACTGCAAAGGCCGCGGGGGGGGAGAGCGAGCAGGGGGAGACAGCTGCTTGTCATTCCCGTCAGGGGAGAACCCAGCGGTTGGGTTTTGAGCGGGGTTTGCATACGCGGCCTGAGGATTCCCGTTTGAGGGGGCCCTCTGCTCCTGTGCGATGCCCCTCAATGTTTCCCCCGCCCCCGGACCGTCGGACGATGCCCTCTGTCCGAGCGGGTTCGCAGCCTGGCCGTCCGCAGACTGGGTGCTGAGATTGGACGTGCTGTATGGTAACGAGCCGGGCCGACGCGCACTGCCTGCTGACGAAGGGGGCGACTGCGCGATCTTGAGCTGCGCTTCGAGGTAGGCGTCTAGGCCCGGTTCCGGGGAAGAGGGGAGAGGGTTCACAACCGCTGGGGGTTGATGTATGACAGGTTGGGCGACATCCGCCGTTTGCGCGGTGGGGGCCAGTGCGGGGGAAACTGCTTGAGGGGGCGACTGAACGTGAACTGGTTGCACGGCCACGGGCTGGTGAGTCGGCTGACTCTCTGACGAGTAAACCGACTGGACGACTGGCTCGGGAAACGTTTGTGGAGCTGGCTGAGGGGGTGGCTGACAAGCCGGCGGCGAGACGGGCTGCGCTTGGGGCTGGTACATGGACTTTGCAGCAGGGGCGTAGGCAGGCTGAGGGGTTTGCTCGTAACTTGGCTGAGTTGGCGGCTTGGGGGACTGAGGCGAGACTACTTGACTTGGTTGCATGTAACCAGGCTGCCCGGTTTGCTGGTAACCCTGGGGGGAGGTTTGCTGGTAAACCTGGGGGGCGGGTTGCTGGTAAACCTGCGCTGCAGGTTGTTGAGGGGCGGTTTGCTGGTAACCCTGTGGGGAGGTCTCCCCGTAACCTTGCGGAGATGGCTGCTGGTACCCTTGAGCAGGGGTTTGCGGGTAACCCTGTGAAGATGTTTGCTGGAACCCTTGAGGGGTGGTTTGCTGGTACTCCTGGGGGCTTGGTTGCTGGTAACCCTGCGGGGGGGTTTGCTGGTAACCCTGTTGGGGGGGCGGCTGATACCCCGGCTGCGCTTGTTGGGGGGCCCATTGCTGAGGGTTTCCCGACCCCGGGCGGTGGAAGAGCGCGGCCGCGTTGCCCCCCGACTTTTGGAACTCCATGTGCTTCTTGAAGTTCTTCTTCAGCTTCTCCTTGAGAGATGACCCGGACCCTGGCCGGTTGGGCCCGTTGTAGTGGCCGGAGGGATAGGAGGAAAGCTGAGGGGGCGGCTGCAAAGCATGAACGCCGTGGATTGAGGGATGGATGATATGGGTGTTCAATAGATGTAAGAAGACTCAGCAGTACATGCTTGAACAGACACGTGTAGATGGAAAGGGACATCGTCCGATGGGGTCGTCTAGATTGGCAAAGATAGGCGGAAAGAGCACTAAGTGCAAGTGAGGACTTGGATAAGGCCCGAACTACTGACATGCCTGCCCGAATTATCTCTGAGAGACTCTTTTGGCAAAATGAGTGCCTTCCATAACGTGCCAGGGAGGGAGATGATAAAGATACTCGAACCAAACTTGACAGACATTCGCTGTGTATTCCGCTTGATAAAACCAAAGGTTCGGAGTTTTCCTGGCCAATGTGCCGCTGAAGATCAAAGCTTCAATTCAAGGTGCAGCGTTTGACGTACTCTTGATCTTTGAGTGGCGCACTCTGCATCATAACCCTCACCTGCATCGCTGGCGCTTGAATGGGAACCGAGTTCACTGCGCGGCACGCCCCGCACTGCAACTGGTGCACCCCCGGTTCCAAGGGGGGTAAACTCATAAGCGTCCTGCACGCCCCACACTGCATATTCTGCGCCGGGGGGCTCGGCGGTGTCCCGTACCCCCCGCCCTGACTCCCTGGACTTAACACTGGCTGCTGCCCATAACCCCCCCCCTGCTGACCGCCATATGGTTGGGGGGGTGGTACAGCAGGAGCGGGGGGTGGCATCGCAGCGGGGGGGGCTGCGATCTGGACCTCGTTGATGCTCCCACACGTGCCGCACCGCATGTTGTGCACCCCGGGGGGGAGCGCCCCCGGCAGCATCTGCGCGTTGTTGCAGCTGGCGCACGTGAAGGTCAGCGCGGCGCCCCCCGGGTACGCCATCGCGCGGGAAGGCTGCCGTGAAAGGGACGGCTGGCTGGGGACTCCCTGCGACTGCGGCGGGGGTTGCAGTGCAGGGGGGGGTGGAGTCCGGGGGGACGGTCGGGAAATGGAAACGGTCCTAAGCAGCTGCGTTGCCGGGTCGGGGGGCGGTGCCGCAGGAATCTGAGTCGCCGGGTTTGGTGCTTCCAGGAGAGGCTCCTCTGGGGGTACGGCCGCCTGAGGGCTCCGCGAGCCGTGGGCGGACTTAGGCCGGGAGCCTAAAGAGTCAAGGGCGAGGTTTATCGAACCTGGGGGGGGAACTTGTATTGGGGGCGGTCTGGGCGAACCGATCTGACCGTGTTCCCGAGAAAGGCTCCTGTGTGCAGCCCCTGTGGATGACTCCTCGCCGTTGATGACGTTTGCTTGGGGGTCTTTATACACAGAGAAGGGATGCCTCTGCGCAGCGCTCTGAGGGTACTCCTGGGGTTCACCTGAAGGCCCCAGAAAAGGTGTCCCCTCCGATTCCTCGGTGTTGCTATTTGCGGTGTCAAAGCGTTCCCTCTCTTCTACTTGATCCTCAATCCCTTGTGGATCTTGAGGGGAACGTTCCTGAGGGGAACTTTCCTGAGTTGCCCCGATCCTCCTTGTTTGCTGCACGGAAGAACCGGGCAGAGCTGGTGCACCTTCGCCAAAGAATGCGGGTACAGATTCCTCCGACCCAGTCGCTTGGCGTGTTTCCAACGGCAGGCTCTGGCGCTTTGCCAGATTATTCACGTCGTTGGGGGCCGACTGACTTTCCTCCGATTCACCCCGCAAAGCCGGCTGAGCTAGCGGGAGCGCTCCTGGGGGGGTAAAGGTTCTCTTGGGGGAAAGCCCGTCTTGAGCTAGAAAAGACGGTACCCCTGATGGCGGAATCTGGGGGTTCACTGCCTGAGTTTGCAGTGGCTGGTGCACTCGAACCGCCGCAGGAAAGGGGGCCTGTGGGGGGGGTACAAACCCCGGTGTCTGAGGTATGGCTGGTTGGGGGGGTGCAGCAAACTGCCTAGGAGGAAATGGGCCTGGGCCTAACAGGGGCAGGGGCGTTCGTGGCGGCGACTGGTTTTCAGCACCTGGCCAAAGACAATGAAGAGAAGTATGAGGGGAGCACAGAGACAGCGTCTATGTGTGAAAGGTGCTGATATGGCCTTGTGGTAAATGCTGGTTTGGCTCTGACAAACGGAAAGGAGCTCTCGTTTCTTGAGGCCTTACACCAGGAACGACAAGGCTTCAACGAGCGGAGCAAAAGATGCACGTTTCAAGAAGACAAAGCAACGGATGGGCAAGCAGGATCTTGATCTCTTAACAGTACCCAAGAGCGAGCAATGGCGAGAAACAAGGTTGTCATTTGCTGCAGCGTGTTGCAAAAGTGTGATCAAGGTGTCAAAAGCTCCAATCAAAAAGCGCATGCGCATTGCTCACTCGACGGCCTGTTGACATTGTCCTCGAAGATGACGCTTTTCACTTCTTGCTGGCTGCCTGGAAGATACTTGAGGTTGTGAGCAGGTTTGCCCAATGTAGAGCAGATGATGTGGGACATTTTCTAAGGTTAGTTAAAGGTTCAAGCCAGCTTCATCGAACGCCACATTGCTGGGCACAGATGTCATGGCAGTCCCGATTACGGACAAGGTCTACATTCAGATTCTCGTGGATCCAGGATCAACTGCACCATGAAGGATCAACCACCGGCCTTCTCAAAAAGATAATCGCTTGCATGTTGAGGCAGAGACCTGGCAATGCTGGAGACAAGGTCAGCAATGATGGGAAGTAAAGGACGAAGATCATGCGTCAACATCCAGCAATGCTTTTGAACTGCTTGGTAGGTTTTCCACAAGCAATAGCGGTATAAAAGAAAAGAGTAAAGGTGATGGACCGCAAGCAATGTGGAAATGGTGACTTTGATCGAGCGTCATCTCACCATTAGCTCCAATGCTCATGAGCATACTGCAGACGCCACATCGCAGGAAGATGTTTGGAGCGGGCACCAACAAAAGGGTTCTGCATTGTGGACATCGAACACACCCTCCTGCCATGCCCTGAAAGCAATCAGTCACACATTGACGATCTCACAAGCAGGTTTTGGAGAGACGCTCGCTGGAGCCGCCATAGCCACAGGAGTGATGTCATTTTCAGCTCATGCACTGTGCACATGTGAGTGGATTGAGGGGGATCCTCCTCGATCACACCCAGCGCGCTGCCCCAACCGCGCCCGGTACGGTACCGCATTGAGCTCACACTACCCATGGACCTCGGTACGTACCTATCCTACGTAGTACCGTGCACTTCGCTCTGTGACTCAGACTCGAGGATGCAGTTCAAACTCCCAAATGCCTGCATATTGCAAGCAGCAATGCCAATTGTGATTCTGAATACCTACCCTACATGTGATTTGGGTACCATGCAGTGCCGCAAAACGTACAAAGTTTGCGAATAAAATTTGGGAGAATCGGGTGCGGACGGTACCGGACCAGATTTGGCAACGCACGGTATGCACCGTCGCTTCTCGTGCGGTACCTAGCCGAAGAAGCACCCGGGCACTCATGATGACTTAGGGTTAAGTAGAAAAGCAGTGACGGTATGTTAGGGTTACGCCACTTCTCTGTGACGGTTTGTTAGGGTTACGCCTTTTCCCTGTGACTGCTCTACGATTAGGGTTCCTACTAACGGCTAAGCCACTGACCTTAGGGTTCTGGTGTATTCTTCCTGCTACCCGAGCACTTTCAAGTGTCCGAACAGGCTGTCCGTGTCCGATTCTCCCGAATTCTATTCGCAAACTTTGTGCCTCTTGCTGCAGTGCCACCACCATCATCAAGAAAGTCCAGGAGCATAACAAGGGAGGGGGGATTGATCATTGATGTGGTTGGGTTACCAATTGACACTTTCAGCCTTCAGCGCTTACGGCCCAATTTGACGCGAAGATGCTTGAACTGAAGGGGGAAGAAAGTGGGGCGGGGTCACAGGGAGTCCGTCTGCAAGCGGGTCCTGCTGAAATGCTCACGAATCACATTTGATGTTCTGATGGCGTCCGCGTTTGCGCAGCGGGAACGCGCCCTGAATGAAAAGCTGTTTGGAGATCTCGTCCAAAGACAGGCAGAGCTTCAACCGCAGACGGAGAACTTCAGCATCGCCCTCCAATTCTGCTTGCAGAACACAGCACAGCACACGTACTTAGATCCAAACCCCAGCACTGTAAGCTCTCAGTACAAGGAGCTGCTCCAGCGCCTTGAAATAAACAGTCAGCTCAGAAAAGCAGATGCTCTGAAGGTGCTAACAGCCAAGTTCCAAAAGCAACCCCTCCAATCCTTTTATCCGGATGTCAATGCATCAGTTCTCAGTCTGCTTTACCACCTTGCTGATGCTCCTGCGTCGACCCCTCTTGACTTTGAGCCTAAACTTTTCGAGGAGCCTTCCACCGAGCTATCAATCAAAGACATTGATGACTCTGATGACGTGGACTCTGAATGGAGCTATGACTGGTCCACAGAGTCTGACCTGAAGAGCGACGATGGGGAGTCAGTGTCAGAGGAGTTTCCAGGAGCCAGCGATGAAGAAGCAACAGCAGGCTCAGATCAGGATTCCCCCCACACCTTTGACTGGAAAACGTACAGCCTGCAGTTGGACGAAGAGAGCGGGCCAAGTAACCTGGTTGAGGAAGATGAGGCTGAGCCAAACGCTGCTGATCTGAGTGGCACTCTGGTTGAAGCAATCTCCAGAAGCAGGGGAAGTGGTTTGGCATCCCTGCAACCAAACCCGAGCCTGAGGACCACTGAAGCCGTACTTGTGAGTATGCCCCCCTTGGAAAGTAAGAAAGGGTACGGGACTTCTACATCGATAGAAGTTGAGAAGCCGTTCAAGCTGCCCCCACCCAGTAAGGAATGTATTACAAAGGACGGCAAGTGAAGTTCCTGAACGTAAAGTTGTTGTTTCTACGCTTGAGAACACATCAGGAGGGTCGCATAAAAACTCCTGGTTGATTTTAAAGTTCGAAAATTAAGACCTTTCTTGCAGACCAAAGTACTCATGTCTAGTCTTACACTGTGTATAAGAATTCTTGAATAGAACAAAGGAAAGAAGGCTAGAACGGGCTTTCCTGAAGGATTAAGCTACAGTCTCCTCCTTTTCAGGTGCGCCAAGTGCTCCGCCTACTGCAAGGCACTGTCCAAAGCGCCTTTTGCTCCGGGGCCCACCGGTTCCAACTAATTGACGGGGTGCACGTCACGCATCTGTCCCCCAGCTCCCTGCGTCAGCTTCTTGCGCCATTCCTAGTTGCAGCTTCCAGCCTCAAGCACGTTCAGGTTTGCCTCCGGCGCAAAGCTATACCTTAAGCCCTGATGGAGCTTATCTCAAAAGACAGAGGAACAACAATCCACATTGAAGATGTGAAAACCACGCCTCTGTGCCTCTGTGCCTGGGCTTTCTCCAGGATTGTTCATTCCATCTACAGTTATGCAGCTTTGCAATGATAACCTGGCTGGAATCCGTCTCAACAATGCTGACCCATGCCCCAAACTCTACTAACTCCAGGATTGGATCGCCGGCGTCCGCGCCAAGACCTGGCAGAGCTTTGGGGACGAGCGCAGGCAGGCGCGAGGCCCCACCATGGAAGCCTTTGCCAATGCGCTGCGGATCCAGGTTCAGAGCCTGATGGCCTCTGTGGTGGAGGCAGAAAGTGAGGCAGCTCGTGGGGCGGCAGGAACCCAAGTCACCCTGCTGAGCCTTCGGCAGAGGCTACGGGGGTGAGATGACCACTTCGAACAGACGGCTAAGTTGCAGTTCCGTTGTCTTCTCGATGTGACAATTTTCTGCAAGTCGACAGGCTCAGGTTGTTGGGATCCTCATGAAGGTTCGAAGTTGTTTGACTCCAAGCCTCCCTGTGAAAACGGAAGTGTGAGGAGGATGCTTCAACCCCCAGGTTTTGCACTCCTGAAAATGTCACTGATCCGGGGTCCCGACAGCTCGGCGACCCTTTCATTTCGTCTTATTGTGCGTCACGGCATACACGAGTTATTAGACCAAGCCTACGATAGTCACAGATTGGCGATCACACCCACTTTCTTCGTTTTACCTTGCCATGCAGGGTCTTGCAAGGGAGTCGGTTCCTGGAAATGGTGCTGGACGCTGTGACTGCGTCAGAGACCGGCAACGCGGCGGACGACGCGGAGCACTTGCTGTCCGTGCTCTACCAGTTGATGGGCCAACACTGCCTCCTCGAAGACGGCGAGGTGGGTCAACCCACGTCCCGTACTCGTCCCTTTTTCCTAACTCTCTTACCATCTATTTCCTGTGAAGGGAGTCGATTGTTTTTGGTGAGGCCTCTGCTGGAGTTATGAGTCCACTGCAACTTCAGCAAAACAGACGAGGACCAACGGGGAGACTCTGACAAGGCACCGAGTACTTTTGCGCTTGGGGTGTACATATACCGGGCTGACATCCCGCATCTTATGGTGAGTTGGAAGCCCGTTGTTGCATGTTGTATGACTGACATTCGTGGTTAACTCCCCGTTGCTGGTCAGACAGTCACGTTGTGCTTTTCCGCTTGTGCAGGAGGCGGCCTATCGCACCGTGCTCTCGCTGTTCCTGGCCTCGCTCCAGCCCATGTTAACGGCGCTCAACGCCTGGTTGGAGGAAGGCATCCTGCAAGACGCCGCGAATGAGGTGAGCACAACCGAAGCGAGAACGCCCTCAAGCGTCCTCGGTTCCGATTTCCAACGTTTCATCTCATGCTCTTTCCTGATCAGGTTCTGGTCCATCTTCCAAGGCGTCCGAGGCGTCGAGGTGATTGACGAAGAAGAAAAAGCATCAGCGGCTACGGATGTTTGGGGTTTTGTCTTTTCAACATTCCGCTTCGATTCGTACAGTTGTTCATCTGTGCAAACCCCGCGGTCCCAATCGAAGACTCTGCCTTCTGGCTGCTGGGCCACTCCCTCCGGCGGCGGCATCGTCCCAGCCCCCCGCAAACCCCCGAAGCCCGGTCCAGTCACAGCAGTGCTTACCCCCCCGAACCCGCCACTCAGCCCCTCCCTAGTCAGACCGGCCCCCGCCGTGCATCC